GGGGCGGGTTGGGGGGGGCTCACAGCGGCGGCTGGGGGCTGTTTGCGGGGGGGGTGATGGGGCTGAGGATGCCCCGGGCTCCCCGTACGGAGCCCCAGGACGTGAGGGCTGCTCAGCCCCAACCCTTTGCAAAGCCAAACCCGTGGCGCGGTGCTGGGGCCCTGTGGAAGGCGGGCGCAGCATGCGGCCCTCGGCGGGCACCGGGCAGGGTGGAGGCTGCACAGGACCCGCTGGAAGGCTGGGGTGGGCAGGGGCCGGATCCTGCCCCCACGGGGCCTCGTGCCCCACTTCGGGGTGGCGCGTCGCTGTTAATGTTTAACCGCCGGTGCCTGCCGCGGGCAGCGGTGGTGGCGGGCAGCGGCCGAGGGACGTCACGGTGAGCCCCAGGGCCACGTCCCGCCATGCGACGGGCAGGTAACGCCGGCGGTGGGGGCTCAGGGGCCGGACGCTGTCCCGCGGGGCCTGGCGTGGGGACAGAGGGGGACGCGGAGCCTGGGGTGACGCAGTGGGGCTGGTCTGCTCGAGACGAGCCCAGCGGCATCCGCGGGGTCCTTGGTGGTGGTGGGAATGGGCGGCAGCGATGCAGCCGGGACCCTTCCCCTCCTCCTGCCTGCTCCCGCCCAGGGTGCTGGGAGCACCAGCGGGTGCTTTCCTGCTTGCCTAAGGGCCCGGATGGGGTGGCAGCCCTGGGACGTGCACCAGGAGCTCACAGCAGGGGAGGTGACATCCCCGGGGCACGGTGGGAGCTCGCTGATGGGTCCCCGTGTCAGTGGGCACTTGTAAATCCCCGGTGAGCGGCGGGGAGGGAAGGTGGCTCGGGGCCAGGCTGCAGGTGTGCCCTGCGGGGGAAACTGAGGCATGCGAAAAGGGCCGGTAACACCGTGACCCACGTCAGCTCACCGCGGGGTTTGCTCCCATCCCGGCTCATCTTGAGGCTTCTCCTCCAGCGGGGCTCAGCCCGGAGGCAGGGAAGCGGAGCAGCTGCCGGATGTGCCCAGGGGACCCCCATCACCCCAAAGTCGCTGGGAGCCGATGGCCGAGCCCACCCACCCCCCTGGAGAGCCGGGGCTGCCAGGTGCGGAGCCGGGCGCAGGGGTGCTGAGCCCCCAGGCTGGGCTGGAGGCATTCAGCCCCGCTTCGCCTCCATGAAGTCCTGGCCAGGGCCGCTGGGAGGGCTGGGGGTGGCCGGCCTGGCCTGGCTGCTCACCGCCATCGTCCTGGTGCTGTGCTGCGGCCCCCTCCTTGCCGGCATCTGCCGCCTGGCCGAGGTGCAGGCAGCCGCTCTCATCTTCCTCTTCCTCACAGCGCTGCTCTGCCCGGCCGGCAGCCTCCTGTCCCTCCCGACGTGGAGATGCGCGGTGGCCAGGAGGCACTGGGAGGTCCCCGGGAGTCCTGCCATCACCGGGAGCGGGGGCAGCCCCTGGTGGTCCCCTCCCCGTGCCCCCCGGTACGGTCTGGTGGCCGTGCAGCCTCATGCCCCTCCCTTGTGTCCTGAAGCCTCCGCCAGCCCGAGCCAGGCGCGTCACCTTCGAGGACGACGTGATGCCATTGGGGAGACCCCCGGGGAGGGTCCCCCCCGCCGCAGATGGGGAGAAGCCAGGGGCCGGGGCTGTCCCCCGCGGCCTGGCACCCCGGCCACACGCTGTCCCGGACTACGTGGTGTAAGTGCCTCCCATGGGGATGGGGACGGCCACGGGACGGGGTGTCACGGAGCCCTGGGGACCCACGACGCCCAAGCCAGAGGGTCCTGCCTGCCTGGACGTGCAGGCAGCGCTGTGGGCAGCACCCGGGCTCTCCCTCCCGCACCCTGAGCCTCCTGGCCTCGTGGCGGTGCAGAAAGTACCCGGCGATCCGGAGCCCCCGGCAGTGGGAGGGCTACAAGGGCGTCTTCCAGGACCAACTGGCCGAGTACACGGAGCTGCTTGGGGAGGTCCGTGCCACACAGCGGAGGCTCGGCGAGCTGGAGGCGGCGATAGGCCGGCAGCCGCGGCACGCCACGAGCAGGACGGTGGGTCCCTTGGCGGGCGCCGGCTGCGGGCACTGTATGTCCTGTGAGCGACGTTGGGCGTGATGAGTTGGCCGGACTCTGTGGGGACTTGGGATGAGCCTGGGGGGCTGCAGCGGGTGGGGGGGACCGGAGGGGATGTGCCGACACCCAGGCTCCTGCGGCTGAGAGGTGCGAGCCGTGCTCGAAGGCACCCGGCAGCTGCTGGAAAATGAAGGAGCGGTGGCATTTCTCGGCTACGCCCTGGGCGAGGTGGTCACCGTGCAGCGCTGCGGGAAGGCTGCCTCCCCCCGAGCCCCCCGGGCTCGTTAGCTCCCGCGGCCTCGTTAGGGCCACGCTCGGCCAGGCCGAGCCCCCGCGGCTCCGGGACGTGTCTTTCTGCCCCGCAGGATGGGAGCAGGGTGGCCCACGTCTGGCACGAGTACGTGAGGAAGAAGAGGGTGAGAAAGGGAAGGGCTCAGGATCTGCTCCCCGTGCTGCGGAGCTGGGGGCTGCGAGCCCACGGCCTCCCCACGGTGCCTCTCCCCCCTCCCCAATGCTTGGGGGGGTCCCCAGGGCACCGCGGGACCCCGGTGCCGGGTTCCTCCTGGCTGAGCACGGTCCGACCGGCAGGATTCGGCCTTCCTGGAGAAGCAGCAGCGCTGTGAATACCTGAAGAAGAAGCTGACGCACATCAAGGCGCGGATCCAGGAGTACGACCGCGACGCCTGCGACAGCGCCGTCTACTTCTGAGCCTGCGCGCCGGCCAGCACCGACGCCGTGGGACGATGACCCCCGGGGGGACACCAGGGGCTGGGTGCTGGGGAGGGGGTGGCAATGCTGCAGGGACGCAGCCGCTGCCCCCCCAGCCGTTGCACCCCCCCAGGCACGGAGGGCAACCCCGCGGGCCCCTCGCGCTGCCGGTTTTGGGGTCCTCTGGGTGCTCCGTGCCCTGGGCGGCCTCGTGGCCCCCGGCACTGGGTGGGTGCTGCCTGTCCCCCCGCGGGAGCCGGGCCCTGGCTGTGCCCCCCCGTCCCCCCGGGTGGTCTGGGGTACCCCC